TTGTTAATGAAAAATAACATGGGAATTGTATAGACCTGGGGTTCGAACCCAGGTCTTGCCCCTCACTAGCCAACACCTGGACCACTATGCCATGTTAACATCTTTAATATATAAATAACGAATAAATAATATAAAGAAAGAAACACGTTAATGGATTGGAACGCGCGAAATTTCAAACTAGTGAATCACTGGCTGACAACACATCGTCTTCCTCGTTCTATTTTATTTTTCTGAAAACAAGAACTTTCAGCCACGGTTTTGGATGCGTGGTTTTAGGCAACCTACAAGAAAATAACGATTAGATGCTGGGTGTATATAAATTAATCGCGAAGGTCAAACTCTCTTCGTCTTGATGAGCTGATTGCAATGGTGGTACTGGGATGGTCTAATTTTGCTTGTATTAAGAATCCCTAATTTTGAAACCTGCAAACCCTAAATCTCATTCATGGCATCATCTCGTATAGCACAGAAAAACGCAATTAAAGGTATCAGTTAGCTTCAAAACATTATGATAAACATGAATCAATGGACAAAATGCTGTAAAAACGTTTAAATCATGATGCACGATTTTGGAAATTTTACTATACAGTTCGAGTTCAAACTACCAGTTCTTGAAGTTTTGATTGTTGTTCTTGATTGGAACACGTTCAGGGATTGCCAAGGAAGCTTTTGGAATAGGTTTGGTGCCTTAAATCGCCCTAGAACACTGATTTCAGAATTGAGTTTTATGGCAAATTTTTCAAGTTTGTATCTTGCTCTTTTGCGCAGCTTCTTGTCCTCTTTCATTAGGTTTGTGATCCTGAATATGTATAGAAGCTTTTAGGTCAACAAAATTGCACAAAATCCATGGCATTCAATGATTTGCATATTTGATTTTGTAAGATCTTTTTGAATCTTTTTCACATGGTTCTTTGTGTCAATTAGCTCCAATCACACCAATTCTTTCCATAATTGAACAAGCACGAAATATTGAGTCCAAATCATGCATAAAAAGATTGGTTTTGTTAGGTTAGATATTTTTCATGTATTTAAATAATTTAAATGAATTAATATTAATGTAAATTCAAATAAATAAATAAAAATTGAGAAAATACTTCCCTTTGGGCCAAGTGGTCGTGCATAGGTTTAGAATGATGAATCATGGAAGAAAAATGGGCCCATTAGTAATTTTGGATCATTTGCATCAATGTTGACTTTTCAAAATTCCCAAAAATTTCCCAACTTCCACAAGGCATAACTTGCTCAATTTTTAAGCTTTTCACATGTTCTTGGACATTTTGGAAAGGTCTTTGAGTCCTCTAACCAATGTCTTTGGTCCCATGTCATTTTGATTTACCAATCTCAAGTTATGGTCTTTGACTTAAAGTCCCTTTTTGTTGACTTTTGAAAATGACCTATAATGTTGAAATTGATAACTTTTTGTGAGAGCATTTCTTGGACTTGAAGTATGAAGATGAGTTGTAGGAAATGTCTTTCTCTTCAAAATGAGCTTTGGATGGAATTTTTCTGATAATCCATGTGAAAGTTATGCCCTGGTCAATTTCAGTTGACTTTTTCAGCTGTCCAAATATAGTAACTTTTGCATCTTTGATTATTTCTGAGCCAAATTTTGAGAATCATGATCAAGAATTGATCAAATGATGTTTGTGGCTTCAAAATGATATGTTGACCAAAAATTTGAACTTTTGACTGCCAAATGACCATTTTGCCCATGCAGTTGACTGTAGTGCAATTTAGGGTTTTGACTGTGCAATTTTGAGCTGAATGCCTTGAAACTTGATATGAAGATGCTTGACCATATTTGTAAGCATGTGAGACTTGATTGGGCCTTTGAAAACTTCATTTTCTTGATCAGAACCCAAACCCTAGTTTTGACTGTATAGGAGACAGTTGAGCTGCACAACCCTTGGGGAATTTTGAAGCATGACTTGGCAATTTCTTGAAGAATATGGGAGGGCAAATTTTGGGGTGCAACACATAGTTAACAATCCTAATGTCTAACTTGAATCGAAAATGAAACAAGTGGTCATAAGGGACAAAAAAACCTAAAGAAAAGAACAAACACAAGTGCAATCGAACATAGTTAAACCAAAACCAAAATAAAAATCAAGTGCGAGCTAGCAACAAATAATGAATCCAATGGATTTCAAAATGGGAGTAATGAACTCTTTCCACTTGATTTGCTCAAGCACCAATATTGAGTAATAACTCGAAGCGTCAACGTTTAAAGAAACGTAAGCTAACACCGTTGAAATGAATGACAAAGTGTGGGGGATGATTGCGATCTCTTTCCACTTTTATTTGACTCGAGGACAAGAGATGAATGATTCAAAGCATCAATGTATGACGTGAGCTAAGAATGACACGAACTAGAAAGTGTTGGGGCCAATTGCGAGCCCTATTGTTCTATTTTTATTGACTCGATTGCAAGCAAAAAATAAAAGGGGAGGGGAATTGCCTTCTTTGAGGACTTTTAGACAAATTTCCTCTTTTTTGAGGAGTTTAAACAAACACAAACATTGCCTCTTTTTGAGGTCTTTAAACAAACACAAACATTGTCTCCTTTGAGGACTTTAAACAAAATTACTCACTTAAAGTAGAGACTCCCATGCATGTATCTCTATTCCTACTTGTCATGGCAAGGAAATCAAAAAACAATGCGAAAATATGATAAATGAGAAAAAAAATATCAAACGGAGTTTAATCGCTTAATGGAGTGTTCCTAAAGGGATGGCAATATCACACAATCAATTATTCAAACTAAAAGAAATCTATTATATATTTTTTTTTTTATCAAGTATTTCTATTACCAAAAATGAAATTAAAACTAAAAAGAAATATAAAATTTAATGAAGAAATGGGCTTTTCAAACAGGATCCAGAAATGTTATTTTTATTGTCTAAAAAACAAGGTTGGGCTTGCACAGCAAAGTCTCATGCGCCTATGATCCACAAATCACGTCGACCATCAAACTATTCTATTCTCACCATCAGATTTATTCTAATTTGATACCATCTATTTCTTTTATCAGATTATTATTATACATTGTTAATAAATTAAAAATAACAAAAAATAAATAAAATGCGATGAAAACGGTGTGTACGGTTGGGATTGGGTAAAGTATTGAGACGTTTCAACTTCCATCTCTCTTATTTATGTCTGCAATTTCCGATGAGAAGCCCCGCCGCGCCGGAAATCTCCCCCGGCGGAGGCGGAGGTCAAAACAAGTTCAAAGCCTACTCAAACAAACCTTTCTTCTCCATTCTTCAAATCCACCTTCATTTTTCATTAATTTTTCCTTAGTTAGCCTAAATCTAAGCAAGCATCGAAAACCCTAGGTCATGGAAAAATTGAATTAAATCGTTATGGAAGCGAATCAAGACCCGAGACCTTGGGGAAATAACTCAGAAGGTCTCAGGCTACATGCTGGTATCAAAAAGACGGAGAAAAGATGAGGAACGGAATAAGCACCACTTACTTATCGGAGAAGCTCCGGCGACGATTCCGCGGCGGCAATAAAGAACCAGAAACCCCGCTCCAAACTGCAAACTCCTTAGATAAATCGTATTTGCTCTTAACTCTTCCTACTTCTCCGTCCGTTCCTTCTTCTGTCTACCTCTTTTCCAATTTTTGTGCGTTGCTGAGAGGTGATCGTCGCGTTTCCGGCGCTAATGCGAGATCGAGAACGCGACTGAGAATAAACTCAGAGCAAAGGTTGAATGACTGAGCGAGGAAGATGAGCATTGCAAAGAGTTACAAGGAGATAATGATTGTGTGTGGAGCTTTTTTGTGTGTTTTGTTGAGTAGAGTGTGTCGATGATGATGATGAAGATGGAAGGTGGAGATGAAGGATTGAAGGTGATGATGAGGTTGAAGAAATTGCAGAGAATCTATGGAGATTGAAGGTTTATGATTGGAGTGAAGTGATGAAGATGCGTGTAGATTGAATGGTTCTGGAAACTCTGAAGAATGGTGGAAACTCTGAAATTCTGTTATGGCTTGATTATTTTGGAGCATTGGATTAAGAGAATTGGTTAGAGAGTGAAGGGCTAAGATGAGATAGTTAGAAGTTGTTAGTTAGATTCTGTTATGAGGAGATTGATGAGCTGGCATTTCGGTTATAACAGTTAGGAGTTAGTTTTGGTTGTTATCAAAAATTTAAAAATGGTTTTATGAACTCTCTGTTAGTAGTAAGTGGTATTATTTTATGTTAGAAGGTTTCAAATTTAGTTGGGGGTTAGTTATTGACAGTTGGCAACTCTACTAGTTAGTTAAATGCTAAGCGGGCAAGTTAGGTTTTTTTGTTAAAATCTAAACTGTAGAGATTTTTGGTTAACTCTGTTAGTATTGCTATGTCAGGATACTAATTGAAATTGGTTAGGTTAGCTGAACTTTAGGTTGAATGAGGTTTAGAAGTGAGGTATTGACGCTTGTATGTGACTGTATGTATGTATGATATAGTTTGAATAATGTGTGGAGATATATCATAGTCCAAACACATGAAACAAGGTAGTTTGTGTGCTAAATAGCTTCTTATTTTATCATGATGTGTAGGGCTGGTATGCTGACTAGGGCGTATGCAAGTTGTAGTGGTTGCTTGAAGTCTGGTTTATTTGATCTCTCTTTTAGCTCGCTTATGTGAATGCAGGTCTGCTATTAGTGGTGATCGGGAATTAAATTAGTGAAAATCTGTTTGGAACATATTGATGGAAATTATGCAGGTTAGTAAAAGGCTAATTGTGGAGTTAATTGGTTTATGGATTGATACTAAGTAATGAGTTGTTGACTGCTATTGATCTTTTTATGTGTTAATTGAATGGTTTTTCTGAGTTGAATTCGTGCTGCTAGTCATGGAGTGAAGGGCATTTTTTATTTATTTTCTATTTGGATATGGCTTGGCATGGTTATATGGCTTGGCATGGTTATAAGGTAGTTAAGGCATAGTGAATTTTTGGTTTAATGAAATTGTGGACTATTTTTCGTACTGATGCAGGACTGATTTATATGCTGATGTGTGAATGGTTTGGAGTGTTAACATGGTTTTGTTTGTGGAAGCTGGTTGTACAAGTTGTTATCAAGGCAAAAATGAAGATGGAAAAGAGTTTGGAGGAGATAGAAGCTTGGTGAAGACATGAAGATGGAGCAAAGTTTGGACATTGGTCAAAGTAGGCTTGGTTTGACATGAAGGCAAGGCATTGTTGTGAAGCTTCGATCTCAGTAGCTTTATGAGTTTGGCAAATTAGAAATAGATCTTGTAATTTTCCTCTTGTAATGCTCCAATGTGTAATATAAATATGGCTTGTAAATTGTACACTTGTAGTTTTGAACAAACATGAATAATTTTTGGATGATGAAATTTGTTTGGTTTTGAAACTGGTCGATTTTGAATAGAACTCATGAAAGCTAGTTGGACATGGAAGTTTTCTCGATGCCTTTTATATACACCAAGCGTATTTGGATAATTGATGAGACTCAGTTTGAAACCCTTGACTCCATGTGTTTTTTATCCATATTTTCCATGTTGTTATTGCTACTTAACTGAGATACTACTTGAACAAATTCCGACCTTAAATCAAATTCAAATCTCAATGAACAAATCCCAATCACCTTGCATTGCTAATGAACCCTTAGCTTCAATCACTAATCCAAGTCAACTTGCGTTTCAAGCAACAAGCAATTAAAAGGAATGATGATGCTTTGAATACAGTTTCATCCTTTGTACCATGATTGGTATTTTGCAATTTCATCCACAGGCCCTTTGTATCAATCCTAAGTGAAAAAGCTTCAAAGCATATAGAAAACCAAAATCACCAGAGGCCCCCTTATCCCATGTCTTGAAAAAACCAATGATATGCAATGTAAATGAATGGCCTAATGGAGATATGTACAAATGAGGACAAAGCCTAAGTCAGACAAAAGTAAAGGAGTAGGACAAATTTGGGGTATGATAGCTGCCCCTATTTAATCATCTTAAACCTGAAAGTGATATTGGCGCTAGCCTTTCGAACATTCTAGGTAGAAGATGGTTAAATATTAATACCAGAAATTTGTCCTGAAAAAATGGTGTGTGTGAGTTATTATTATATTTTTTTTAATATCTGTTGGGGAAAGAAATATTTTGTTTTCTAGTGAAAGAGTTTGATGAATAAGTGTTTGAATGGTGATAGCTTGTAACGTGGTAATGATGCCAATACGATGTTTTCAGAGAGATGATTGTTATATAAAATGGTGATTGAAAGAGTAGGTATGAAAAGACAAAGGGTAAGATCTACGGGCAACCTACAATCTAAATAAGGTGAGACCTACGGGCGATCTATAAAGGAAAATTAGATCTATGAGTGACCTACAATCCTTATAAGTGAGACCTACGAGCGATCTACAGGAGAAAAGCTAGATCTAAGGAAAACCTATGATCCTAAGAAGGTGAGACCTATGAGTGATCTATAGGAGGAAAGATATATCTACGGGCGACCTATGATCCTAAGAAGGTGAGATCAACGGACGACCTACAAGAAAAGTTAAATCTACGCGCGACCTACGATCCTAATAAGGTGAGATCTACAAGCGATCTACAAGGAAATTTAGATCTACGAGCGACCTACGATCCTAAGAAAGTGAGACCTACGGGCGATCTATAAGGAAAGCTAGATCTATGCGCGACCTACGTGCCTAAGAAGGTGAGACCTATGAGTGATCTACAAGAGGAAATCTAGATCTACGGCCGACCTAAGATTCTAAGAAGGTGAGATATACGGGTGATCTACAAGGAAATCTAGATCTACGGCAGACCTACAATCCTGATAAGGTGAGATCTACGGGAGATCTACAAGGAAATCTAGATTTACGGGAGACCTACGATCCTAAGTAGGTAAGATCTATGGACGCTCTATAAGGAAATCTAGATCTATGGGTGACCTACGATCCTAAAAGGTGAGATCTACGGGCGATCTACAAGGAAATCTAGATCTACGGGCGACCTACGATCCTATGAAAGTGAGACTTACGTGCGATCTCCAAGAGGAAAGCTAGATCTGCGGGAGACCTACGATCGTGATAAGGTGAGATCTACGGGCGATTTACAGGAGAAAAGCTAGATCTACTGGTGAACTACGATCCTAAAAAGGTGAGACCTACGAGCGATCTATAGGAGGAAAGTTAGATCTACAAATGACCTTCGATCCTAATAAGATGAGATCTATGAGAAATCTACAATGAAAGCTAGATCTATGGGCGACCTACGATCCTAAAAAGGTGAGACCTACAGGTGATCTACAAGGAAAGCTAGATCTATAGGCGACCTACGCTCCTAAGAAGGTTAGACCTATGAGCAATCTAAAAGAGGAAAGTTAGATCTACAGGTGACCTAGGATCCAAATAAGGTGAGATATATTGGCGATCTACATGGAAAGCTAGATCTATGGAAGACCTACAATCCTAAGAAGGTGAGACCTACGAGCAATCTACAAGGAAAGTTGGATCTACGGGGAACCTACGATCCTAATAAGGTGAGACCTACGAGCGATCTACAAGAGGAAATCTAGACCTACGGGAGACCTACGATCCTAAGAAGGTGAGATCTACGGGCGATCTACAAGGAAACCTAGATCTACATCCGACCTACGATCCTGATAAGGTGAGATCTACGGGCGACCTACAAGGAAAGTTAGATCTACGAGCGATCTATAAGGAAAGCTATATCTACGGGCGACCTACGATCCTAAAAGGTGAGATCTACTGGCATCTACAAGGAAATATAGATCTACGGGTGACCTACAATCCTAAGAAGGTGAGAACTACGAATGATCTACAAGAGGAAAGCTAGATCTACGGGTGACCTACGATCCCGATAAGGTGAGATCTACGGGCGATCTACAGGAGGAAATTTAGATCTAAGGGTGACCTACGATCCTAAGAAGGTGAGACCTACGGGCAATTTTCAGGAGGAAAGTTAGATCTACGGACGACCTAGGATCTTAAGAATGTGAGACCTACGGGCGATCTATAGGAGGAAAGTTAGATCTATAGATGACCTACGATCCTAAGAAGGGAAGATTGGTTATAGCACAACGACCGAAGGTATGTAAATGATGAACTATATTTTTTTTGCTGGGGATTTAGGAGTACAAGGTACTGGAACCATTAATTGGGGATTGTGAGGTTCTAAAGGCATCAGTTGTGAATTTACCATTGTTTTGGTGGAAAGTGATTCGGGCTTTTGCGCAAGGTACCAAATATGGGTTACGCTTTGTATGCATGTTTGAATTTTTCATGGTGTAATGATTCATTTCAAAGAATATGGATATGCGTTTGAGGATGCAATGTAATGCAGTGATAACTATATGCAAAGTGCAGAGAAATGAACTTTATAAGAACAGGCTCATTAGGAACCATTGCTCGTTGTCGGAAGATATCAATACGGATCGACATTAGAAAGATCAGGGTACCAAAGATCAATGGCAACTTATTATGAATTGAATTATCGTCTTGTTGGGGAGGAAGTAATCTGACACACTTCCCTGCATCCTATATTGTATGGGGATGGTAGGATTATACATGGACATACTGGGGAATTGCATGTTGAACATCACTTGGATCTCTTTGAATGCCACGAGTCTTCCTTATACTGGGAGATACACCTTGAACTACTTGGGATTAGGAGAAGGACATTGACCTCTTCGGCTTCCTTTGTATGCTTCTCTGCTGAAGATTAGACGGTGATCATCCGTGGGGATTACGCGTTGAACCACATAGAACTCCTTGAGTGCCCCAAGTTTTCTCTATTGGGGAATTATGCATCAAAAACGGATGTTGAACCATGCCCCAAGTTTACTTCACTACTGGGGAGATTAACCTTTGAACATCTGCAGGGGATGAAGATGTCTTTTGCAATGTCGGCTAGGTCAATGTAGCAATCATGACTTGCTACCTGCACGAAAAACAACTCTTTGAATGCTATAACACTCCTTTGGGATGTTTTCATGTCAATGTAAAGTCATGTTTAGTTTTAGCTTGAGATTATTATTCCTCAACATTTTCAATGCAATGTTTAATAAAGAATTAAATCACATTTCCATACGAAAAACAAAAATTAAAAACAATAAAGAAATCTTTTTGGGCAAAGACAATTTTATTGATTGATGATTGACTTGTAAATAGGAATTTGTACAAGGAGGCAACTCTTGAATGAGGTAGTTGCAAAAAAGAAGAGAAAATACAATAGGTAAAATGGCAATGAGAAATGCTCGAATTTTCATTAAAACTGGTATTATTACAGTTCCTATATCCTTGATAGTCTCAATGCTTTGCTTCTGAAGAGTAGTAGTTGGACTGGTATGTTCACTGCCAAGGTGAAAAGGACGTGCATGGTTATTTGTGAAGAGTATTTAAACTGCAGCCTCTCTCTCTTGATCCCTAATTTTTTCTTAGACCGCCCTTCTAGGTTTTTGATCCAGCGGGATACCCATTTTTTCCCAAGTCTCCCTTTCGGGTTTTCGACTTAGCGAGTTATTATTTTTCATTTTATCCCTAATTTTTTCTTGGAATATTTCTTTTTATGTCCACCAGGATGCCCATTTTTGCCTAAGTCTCCCTTTCGGGTTTTCGACTTAGCGAGTCTTTTATGCGTAGTATTTTTTGACTGAGTCTGAATTGACTGGAAGTGGAACGTCTTCCCCATCCATGTCTATCAAGATTAAAGCACCTCATGAGAAGGATTTATTCACGATGTATGGTCCCTCATAGTATGGAGTCCACTTTCCCCTTGGATCAGAATAGCTTTGCAAAATAATCTTCTTCACGACCAGATCGTTGGGATAGAACTTTTGAGGACAAATCTTCTTGTCAAACATTCTATTCATCCTCTTTTGGTAAAACTGACCATAACAAATGGCTGCTAAGCATTTTTCCTCAATCAGATTGAGTTATTCAAGTCTTGTCTGAACCCATTATGCCTCGTCAAACTTGGTATCCATCAGGACCCTTAATGAAGGAATTTCTACCTCAACTAGAAGCGCAACATTTGTATCGTAGATGAGAGAAAAGGGGGTTGCTACAGTTGAAGTATGCACTGGAGTCATATAGCCATGCAGAGCAAAAGACAACATTTCATGCCAATCTTTGTATGTTCTCACCATTTGCTGGACTTTCTTCTTTATGTTCTTTTTAGCAGCTTCGACTGTGATGTTCATCTTTGGCCGATAAGGCGATGAATTATGGTATTAAATATTGAACTCTTCACACAACTCCTTCATCATTTTTTTGTTGAGATTTGAACCATTATCAGTGATAATTCTGTTAGGAATTCCATAGCGGTATATGATTTCCTTTTTGATGAAGCTAGTGACAAACTGCTTGGTTACATTCTTGTAAGAAGTTTCTTCCACCCACTTGGTGAAATAGTCTATAGCAACAA